TCGAGGAATTTCTGTATATGTAGATTTTCATTGCGGCGTTTCGGTTGCAAGAAACCATAATCAATTTTCTTTTTTCTTATGGGCGCCATATTGAATTTTAAGCTAAGCAAATAAAGCATACTTCAAAAACAACCTCAAAAATCAATATATTAATATTTTTAATAAATCTGGCAACACCGCATAATTTTTCGAAACTATTATACTGCCCTACTTTGGAAGAAGACCGTATGTGCACATATGACAGTTTAGAGAAAATTGCAAGGAGATATTAGGCACACTTCATTTGGCTGTAATTCATTTACTAATTAAGGTAATAACTTGATTTTTTCAGTAACGGCAAATGAAATACAAATATTTTTTAATGTATTTCAAGAATGTTAGGAAACATTGCAATTTCAATAAAAACAGCGTCACATATGTTGTTTTGTCTTAATATATTTAAGATTTTGCTAGGTAAAAATACCGTATGTGCAGTATGAGCTACATTTTCAACATAAATTAATAGAAGGACCATGCATAACATGTACATCGTATACATGATATTTTGTATGTTTTTACAGGATATTTTACAATTTTTAATATATTGTGTTGAAAATAATGTTTAATTGTTGTTTAATTTAAAACAACGCATGTGAACACATACGAATTTAATTTGTTAAAAACATCGTATTTCAACGCTTCTGCTAGAGAAGAAAGCCGTATGTGCTGTTTTTTTCTAGTATAGCGATGAAGAAAATAAGAGTGACACAAAATTAGAAATTTTAAATGTACAAATTTTTAAATTTAAAGAAACAAAATCGATATTTTTTATATTTATAGATGGTAATGCGATGTAGATTTCGAAAATATAATTATCTCAATTTGTCACAAAACTGCACATGCGGTCCTTTTCCGCAGTATAGAATAGTCTCAAATTTTTGTAAAAGCTTATTATTAACATCATGGCGTTGAGTGAAAAAATTATAGTATTGGCCACGTGTTTACGAAGAAAAGCAGTTGATACACAAATTGTTAAATGCTGGGAGATAACGTCACTATGAATCCCAAGAATTTCGACAACACCGAATATTTTTGGAAAGTGCATTTAATTCTGATAGATATCTTTAGGAAAATAATGTCTTTTAATTTAAATAGTTACTTTTTTATATATAAAATAAGCCTTTGGCACAGTTGAATAAATCGGAAATAGTTTCAAGACAGTGCGTTTCGCCAAGAAATATAGGAATTTTTTGTTAGAAATTAATCTTTAAATACAGTCTAATTATGAAAAATCAAAAAAATTATTAGTGAAGAAATTTAAAATTTAAAATTGCGCATTATTGTTGCAAAAATCGATGGATGTTGTTATAGAAAAGACGAGCAATCCAAAGACCAACATGTGTGATAAAGGTAGGTTCGATTGAACGTGAAATTGTTGCTCCAGGTATTTGTAAATTAATTTTGTTTTTTGCAACTGGTTGTTTAATTACTAAACATTAATTTTAGAAGTTAATATCGTAGATATAGTTTCTAATTAATCCAAAGAAAGGTATCGAAAAACAAAAGTAACAAAATATTGAAATTAAGTAGCCCTTTACAACTAACAAAGTAGGACGTGCAAAACGGCGTAATAATATCCCAGGGTCGCAAATGCCGCTCGGGAATTCGCTCTTTTTGCATTAGATACAGGTTATTTTTACGATAATTTTAAAAAAAGAGTAATCACCTACGTCTCTTTATTTACAATAGAAATACAATATATACAATATAGAAAAGATATTCGTGGCTTTTGTATATATAAATAAAATCTTCTTATTAGTGGGATTAAAGCCTATTTTTTAGATGAAACTTTTTTCTATGTAAAAGCTTTCGCAATATTTTATTGCTTCATTAGTGACACTATAAGTTATAGATATAATTATAATAATTTAAAATATAAAAGTGGATTACTTACAAGAAGTGGATTACTTACAAGAAACTGAGTTATTGATATTTATAGATTGATAGATTTTGGACATTGACATTTGATAGATTTTGGACATTGATATTAAATGACATTTCATAAATTTTGGAAAACAAAAACAAAAATTATTTTATATTTATATAGAATTAATAAATATTATAGTACTATGATTTAGATTTTTATCTACAGGGTGTTAAAAAAGAGTGTAAAATATTTCAGGAGGTAATAATATGAACCAAAATAAGCAGAAAAGTCTTAATAAACATGGGTCTGCAAAGTAACGGTTGCGGAGATATGGACCACTATTCGTTTTTCAAACATTTTATTTTATTATGAATAAACCGACAAGGGAAGCTTTTAACAAACAAAAAACAAAGTTACAGAATATGTTCAAAGTGCCCTCCGTCCATTTCCAAGCAGGCACGACATCTTCGTCTCAACGATATTCGAACTCTTTCGAAAACACCCTCCTTGGTTTGGATTTCTTGACACTTTTGATTAATCCGTAGCTGCAGCTCTTCCAGGCTATTTACAGGAGTACCATACACTAATGTCTTCAAATATCCCCAAACAAAGAAATCTAGAGGGTTCAGATCAGGCGATCTTGGAGGCCATAAAACAGGTCCGGCCCTTCCTACCCATCTATGTGGAAAAGTTTGGTGTAAATGCTCTCTAACGGCCATGGAAAAATGAGCTGGAGCACCATCATGCTGGAACCACATTTGTTGCCTCTGATTCAAAGGAATGTCTTCCAAAAACTCATACAGTGTGTTCTGCAGAAAGTTGAGGTAAGCAGCGCCTGTTAATCGGTTTGGTAAAACAACAGGACCTAGAAACCTGTCACCTACAATACCCATCCAAATGTTTAATGAAAAACGTGCCTGATGTCCAGATTCTATTAGAGCATGAGGATTTTCGTCGGCCCAAATATGCGTATTGTGAAAATTAAACACTCCATTTCTTGTGAACCCGGCCTCATCAGTAAAAAGAATGTTTGCAAGAAAACGAGGGTCTTCAGCATCATGACGTAGAAACCAGCGGCAAAAAACCAAACGTGCTTGATGATCATTTATTGGATTTAAGGCCTGTACTCGTTGCACATGGTATGGATAAAGCAGTTGCTCGTGAAGGATTCTCCAAACAAGAGGACCACTAATTCCTACCTCGGCTGATATTCTCCGCACACTCGTACCTGGATTCTGCTCTACCAGTGCTAGAATTTCTTCTTCTGCTCTAGGAGTGGATACCGACCTTGGTCTTCCGGATAAATGGCACTGTTTGCTCAAGGAACCGGTATCACGCAATCTTTGGTGAATTCTTCCAAACATGCGTTGTGAAGGAATCTGGCGATTTGGATAAGCGTCAACATAAAGACGTCGCGCTTCGGTGGCGTTCCCATTAGCACGACCATACATGAAATGCATGTCTGTTAATTCTGCGTTAGAGTAACCAGCCATAGCGAAAGAAAACTTGTGCACTGAGAACAACTGTCAAATACGTACTGTTTATTTCACTAAACATCAACCAACTATTATAAAAAAATACACAACGTTTTTGCAAAATAAAAAAAGGGGCTAAAAAACATAAAACATTCCATATCTCCGCAACCGTTACTTTGCGGACCCATGTTCATTGAGACTTTTCTGCTTATTTTGGTTCATACTATTACCTCCTTAAATATTTTACACTTTTAACACCCTGTATAGAAAGTCTGTTGGAAAATATAATGTTAATGTGTTTTGTATCTGTTTTTTTATTTAGAGTATTTTCTTCTTGGTTAATTTTCTAAATAATCCTTTTCTGTTGCTAAAATTTTAAAATTTTCAAAATCCATTTTATGTCCTGTAGAATTAACATGTTGTGAGAGTGCAAAAGCATCTGGTCTTAATCTAATATCACTTTTATGTGAAGAAATTCGAGACTTAATATTTCTAGAAGTTTGACCTATGTATAACTTATTACAATTTAAACAATTTATTTTATAAATTACATTAGATATAATAAGAAGATTTTATCAATATATACAATATATATTTTTTATAATGTTATTTGTTAATTAACTATTGGACGTATCGGACCGGAATAATAATTAGAGATAATTAAGGAAAAGGGTTAAACTTTTATTTGCAGAAAGTTTTAGATTGATAGTTCATTAATAAATGCGTTAGCAGCAGTAAAAGTTAACGTTAATGAACGGCCTGCTCGTGGAGAAGGACCGCCAGGCCCCGCGCATGCGTGTGAACGTCGCTCTCGGTCGTGCGAGACTTTTTATTTCAACGTTTCAAATTCGGTTAAATTGACCAATTAGAACCTATATCTACGTTATTAACTTCTAAAATTAACGTGTAGTAATTAAATAGTTAGTTCCAAAGAAAAAACAAACGAAATTAATTAACAAATACCTGGAGCAACAATTTCAGGGTTAATTGAATCGGCGTTTGGCACACATGTTGGTTGGATTGACCGTCTTTTCCACAAACTTCATCAACATCCATCGCTTTTTGCAATAATAATGTGCAATTTTCGAAAACTGATATTTTCGCGTTCGGCCTTTATTTTACAGTTAACAAATTAGTGAAAAATGACATTAGGTACCTTAAATTGTAGGTAATTTAATCGCCTACAACATAAAATAACTAATTTTTCGATAGGTCGTCTAGATTGTCGTGGGTAGTAAAAAAAGTGAAAAAACATGTAAATTTGCCTCTTATTTGCAATTTGCCAACTTGGCGTCACTTCTTTCGAGTTATTTTTTCGATATTATCATTCTACAAACCCTTCCCCGTCATGAAGTGCAATAAAATGTCTACTAATAATTTTTTCAAGTTTTCAGGATTTATGATCTAGTTCGACTGCAGTAAATAATGTTCACAATTTTCCATATGAAAGTTTGTTCTCTGTAACGTTTCTCCGAGGTAACTAACTTTTGTAATATAATTCCCCTGATGCATAGTATTAAAAGATCCCTTTGAATTAAAATTTCTAGAAGAACAAATACATTTCTAGTAAAAATGCTCTTAGCGATGTACTCTAACTTAATACTATAATTCAAACTTACCGTGAACCGCCGACACCAGACGGAGAGCCATCGGATGTCCCTAATTCTTTTTCCCATTGGCAGTCTGAGGATTATGTCGGTGTTGTTGTAAGCTCGTAATTCCGGAGGATCCCTGAAACAAAGCTCTCGATAGTAACCCGCTTGGAAAATAAAAAGCGTTTAACTGCCATGGAGCGTTTCGGTTTAAGTGGATAGGAATTTTCGAGTGAAGGAGAAGATAAAAGTCTCCAGCTCTACTCCGGTTGCCATATTTCAGATTATTTCCTCCAATAAAAAATGACCATTAAATAAATGGAGTAGAATGTAAACATTTGTATTTTAATAATGAGCAAGATGCAAAAACATTATGGACAAATAATGTAGCAAAATATATGTATCTCTTTAAATACGATTACGTATAAAGGATGTCTCAAAATTGACTGCCGTGCTTTTATGGATTGATTCAGGGGCACAAAACAAACGTGAAACGAATAAAACAAATATTAATCATATTTATAACTGGGTTTGCAAGCTTATGTGACAGTTATCAGTGATTGCACAATTTCTGGACGGGCTGCTACGTTTAGGCTTAATGGCAGTTTGAGAGATATATTGCTCTCTTCTTCAGAAGAAGCTCTGAAACTGATATTAAATCATCTGACAGATATTTATAATGGCTACATGCGTTGAACTATGGCGTTCTGGTTCATGACTAGTACTCACTGGTCTACGTTGTTTCGATCTTTGGTTTTTGCAGACGAGTCGTTTTCCACTTCTATTCCTTCCAATTATTTTAACTCTCCTGGGTTTCTATTGTCTCCCGGTAGAGTCTTGGCCAAAATCTTCTTTCTCTTCTCTCTCACCAGAATTCTGGTGAGAGAGTGGTCTTTGTATCTGCTCTGTGCTGTGAAACTGCTGATTTTTTTACGCTCTTGTCCTTTGTTTAATATATACTTTTTCGTATATAAACGGAATGCTGCATATACCGGGGTGTCGGAGTAGATCGTTCTTGCAGTTCGCCTTGGGAAAGGCTACCCCTATCTTCCTTGAGGTGTTGTAAGTATTACTAATTTTGTATTTCCTTAAGATGAGGTCTATCTAGTCAGTATATCGTCGTATATAATGCAGATAAGTCTCAGATATCCTGGAGCTCGATTCTTGACGGTGAGAGAATAGAATGCTTCCCGGGGAGCGTTCCCTCATTTTGCTCTACTATCACAAAATTCATACCGTATTCTCGACACAAAGAGATCGAGCCTTGAAAGTAAAGAACGAGGAACAATGTTGTCAAATGTACCGACCAATCAGAAAGCCATGAAATAAGTGCTACTTTATTTAGTTATTGTTATTTGTTCGTCAATGTCAGGTGCAGTCTAAAGAGAAAAGAGAATGGATATTAATAAAAAACCGAAGCTAAATTCGGTAAGTTTTAAACAAAAAGAACTTCTAACAGAATATATTGAGAGTAAAAAACAAATGTACACTGGAAAGTTAATACCCAGCTTCACTAGAGAGAAAATGAAGGCTAACTTCGAAGAACTTAAAAATATTTTAATACTGTATTAGGCAGATCCATTTTATTCTATTATTATTTTATTCGTGTACTGTACGATCCTTCAAGTAAATACAAATTATACGAACGTTTCCTCAAAGTTGTCGAATGATATCACCACAAAACAGTAACTAGAGATATTGTAGACAGATTGCGGAATTCCTAATTTGTGAAATATGTCAAAAAATATAGGTTTAATGATCCCTGCCTGTTCCCCCGAAAATATCAATAGAAGAAATTAATGAGTTTTAGTAGAGACACGCCCCCTTTCTCTCATTTCTTCTACTCCCTATAATTCAAGAATATCTAATAGCCCGTTCAGTATTTCTGTCCGTATTTCTCTAACAGCATATCTACCAAGTGTTCTGGTCGTAGGTGTGCCCAATGTGCTGTACAATACCCTGTTTCTGGGCTGGATAGTGTCGAGTTTTCATATATCTAACATGGGTTGGTTTCCTCTAAACGTTGTGACCTAGAGTGCCATCTCAATGATGAAGCCGATGTCTGTATGCATTCCATTGATGTAATTAACGAATCCTTCTGTGTTTTTATACTGTGGATCCAGATAATAAATCTTAAATCTTTGTTGAGAGATATGTTAGAGCTGGGCATTTTGTTCATAAAACTAGTTCTTAAAGGAGAATAAGGTATCATTTGCTAAATCTATTAAATTTTTATCCTACGATGAGTTTTAGCTGACTTTCCTCCAAATTTTGTTTAATAAATACGAGTACTTTTATGGACAATGACGTCATGTCAAAGCTCACTAGGATATCATCAGTATCTAGATGAATTTTCTTGACCTCAATAAAATTTTTAGGGTTTGGCTAAAGTCATTAATGTTGGGAGTTCTTGAATCACTTAATATAAGGTAGTTCTGCAGTAGGTAGTTCTGATGTAATTCTTCGGGAATGCTTGAACCGCTGACACCACTTATTCTGAGCTTCCTTAATTGACTCATAGTGATTTTATTATAATCGAGATCCTATAGTAGATGTTCCACTTTAGGTATGTACTTTATTGCGTTCAAGATGACATGCATTTCCTTTGTTGGCCAGGAGAATGATCTTCATTTTTCTTCAGTTCTTCTAATGCTTGGACTTTTTTCTATATAGATTTGGACGTTTGACAGTTCGTAATACCTACATATGTGTGCTGCCTGAACCCTTACTTCTTATGTCACTACTTCGGGAAGTCGTCGCTTCGGCACGTGGTTTCCATGGCGCTAATAATTTCCTTTCTTGGAATTGTTCTGGGTGCTAAGGCAAAATTTAGGCCTTAGGCAAGCGTCATCATCTAGTTGCAGAAAGGCTAGGTTAGTGACGATTTGAGGCTTGTCCAGATACATTCGTTTAAGATGTCTTTCGAGAAGCAGTTTCACAACTTTTCTTATCGGAATATTGTGGCTTCCTCTTCCGTCTGTTCATTAGATCCAAGGTCTAATTTACTGGTAAGCTGCAAATATACTTCTATACTCATTTTACCCTAGTTATTTCCAGCAAAAAATCTAAGAGTTTGCCAAGTATGGAGCAGATACGTGACATTCCATATACTTAATTAATAATAGAATTCTCATGATTAAAAGCGAATAATAATAGAAAACAAAATATTATGTCACAAAATATTTTATATACTTATACGACCCTTACAATGGACTTGTATCTGGTGGAAATAATCTCTGTGTTTACTTCTGATTATATTTCCTGGAGATGAGAATTATCTTTGAAGATATCTAGACTATATAGCCATCGATAAAATGAGCGAGTTGATGCAAAAATCGAGATAAGTATTAATAAAAAAAGAATTAGAGGAATTTTGCTTTCTACCGAGATATAAAGATTCAGAAGGTTTATTTGATCATTTAAAATGATCTTAGGAACAAGTGTTAAAATATATGTTTTAATATTAAAACATATTTATTTTCTTGGGAATTGGTTTCTATCAAGTCGGTTAAAAAAAAGGATAAAAGAAACAGCAGCTATTTCTTTCTTCACGTTTCGTTCCTGATCAGGAACTTTTTCAAAAGGCTTTTATTGTTAAAATTGTTATAGTTAATTAAATAAAACCTAAACAACAACCATTTTTCTTAAAAATTTTTTTGTAAAAACTATACATCAGTCATCGTGCAGTGGACAAATTTTCACAATATAATATTATGTTTTTTCATTTTAAATTTGAAAAAGGCTTGCATTTTTAGATGTTGTAAGCGTGTCAGGATAATATTTTTAATCGGCAATGTGGTACGTGGATACGTTTTCATTTTCAACGTACGCTGCTGTTTCTTTTATCCTTTTTTTAACCGAGTATCCCATCAGAACCCAATTCCCAAGAAAATAAATATATTTTAAAATTAAACAAAAGGTTCAAGAAGATTTCCACGTTATATTTTTTAATTTGCATATCACAAGCAAATGTACATCATGTTCTATTTATTTCAATTGTTTTTAATAGAGTTGAGAACAAATTGTAAAACGCTTTCTTTGTTTGCATCATTCACTCAAAATTGGAACTAGAAATTCAAAAATATCTAAGGATTTAATATATAGATATGTAATAGATAATAGTCAGTGTAATTTACTTTATTACTGGCAATAAGTAATTAATTCAAACTTGTTATTAAATATCATATGTGCCAATTATAGCTGTGCGTTTCTTTCCATGTTTGCTAAATTAACATTTTTCTTGGAAAAACGCTGTTCATTTGATCGGCTGACGATTTATCTATGAAATAAATAGATAAATTTCAGTTAGTTTAAACTACATTCCCATTCTCAAATGTGGTGCAAATAGTCGCGAATTTACGAAATGCGACTATTATTCAGACTGGTTGATTTCAATGAAAAGCAAACGTTTTTAATTAAATCAGCTTATCAGAATAATATCCGTTTCGCAATTCGAAATTCGCAACTGTATGAGCCTTACTTTACATTGTATCTAAAATTTATTCAGAACAATTACTTAAACTATTATCCTTGTTCGTAGATAATATGTACGATTATATTCCAAAGCTAAGATCTGATATATCCTTTTGAAATTCATATTGTTTTTAATTTTGAAATCAAAACTCGCTGTGATAAATATTGAAACACATTTTATAATTATACTGCTGCATCATAAACTATCAAAATAATAAACCTATCAATATTCACGCCATTGTACTTGTTATTTTCTTCAGTTCAGTGATGTTAATATGTTACTGTTTAGTGACTTTTGGACAACAAAACTCATCAACAATGTAATTTTATTCCAAATATGCTAGTTTACATTTCTGTATGTCGTATGCAGATTGAAATTTTCTTTCAAACCATATAAGCATTGTTAGGGTTACCGTTACTACTTTTAAAGATATTTGCAATTTTCTATTTTTTGGACAGTTTTTCTCGTATCAGACGTGTTATCAAATTGGCCATGACCAGAACCACTACAAAAACAGTTCACATAACTTGACATTTGTCAAGTTAGTTGTCAAATGATTGTTATGTCTGTATTAGTTTTTGGCGAAAATTTAAATAAAAATGCCTGAAATGCCAGAAACTATTACAGACATAACAATAATGTGTTATTGAGTTATGAGTTATTTT